TTTTGAAACAGTCTTACTCTGTCACCCAGGCTGGAGTGCAGTGGCGCGATCGCAGCTCACTGCAACCTCTGCCTCCCAGGTTCAAGCAATTCTGCCTCAGCCTGCGAAGTAGTTGGGACTAAAGGCGCCTGCCACCATGCCTGGCTGATTTTTTTTCTATTTTTAGTAGAGACGGGGTTTCACTATGTTGGCCAGGCTGGTCTTGAACTCCTAACCTCATGATCTGTCCGCCTTGGCCTCCCAAAGTGCTGGGATTACAGGAATGAGCCACTGCGCCCAGACGCTATGATTGTTTTTAATTCCCCCCCAGCGGTAGCAAGGGCCCTGCTGGAGGCTTGTTGATTGAACTGGTGAAGGGGCACAGGCTCCTGCCTCTCTGTAGAGGAGGAAGCCTGCCCTGCTTGGGTGGGAGTGTCAGAGTGTCCCAAGTGTGGGGCGCTGCAGGGCACTGAGTCAGGGAAGGTCTCACAGGATTCAGCCCCGGCTTGCCATTGCCGCAGCCGCTGGGAGCAAGAACCGAGAATCCACTCCCAGGCCAGGACCCGGCCCGGCACAACCCAGTCCAGCAGCTCTTTGAATCCTGGAAGCCCCAGCCCTTCCCGGGGCTCCTCCTCTCTCAACCCCGCTGCTTGGCTGCGCCCTGGTGCCCATGGGCTCCTCCCCTTCCCAGGACTCCAAGTGAGGTGAGTCCTCAGGTGTCTGAATGGCAGGGCTGAGGCCCGCCTGCAGAAATGACAGGAGGGCGGCCACCAGGAGGCCACCAAGGTCGCCACTCACCTGATTCACAGCTTTCGGGAAGTGGGTTAACGGGATTCCCGAGCCCCGGGTTGCGCCAGGTCTCTGGACTGAGTCACAGGGGCCCAGGCTCCTGCAGGTGGGTGCCCTTAGTGAGCCTCGGGCACCCCCTAGATCCCTAAGGCCTTAGCACCCCCCAACACTCAGTACCCCAGACTTCAACCACTCCAAACCCAGGCCCTCTCCAGCCCAGAACCCCTTCTTTTCAGTGCCCTGGGACCTTTCTCTGCCCCTAGACAGTCAATGTCAGGGACCACTGGGCCAAGCCCCCTCCCCTGCCCTTCCGGAGGCCACATCCTGGACCCACAGCTGGAGCCTGGGGTCTCAACTAGAGCCCCCCCAGGGCCCTGTAGCGGCTGGCTTCCTCCCCGCAGCCCCGCCCCCTGCCCATGACCCACAGCCAGAGTGGCCGCGGGAGCCACCTCGGGACTGGTCTGACGGCATTCCGCCTCCCGAGATAAAACCTGGGGCGACCTGCAGGGAACCTACACACCCTGACCTGCATCGCCCTGGGTCTCTCGAGCCTGCTGCCCGCTCCCCCGCCCCACCAGCCATGATGGTTTCTGGAGGCCCCGCATCCCTGGGTGGGGGCTGTCTTGGCACCTTCACCTCCCTGCTGCTGCTGGTGTGGACAGGTACGTCCGGAGGCTGCTCCTCCCTCCTCCCTCCCAACTCCTCCCTCCCTCCCTCCCTCCCTCTCTCCCTCCCCGCCTTGCCTCTCTCATCTCCTTTCTGCTTCTGCTCTCTGTTTATCTCTGGCTCCTTAACTGCTCTCTGCCTCGGTTTCTTCTACGGCTGTGAGGATTAAACAGAAAACACAGCAAGTACGCAGCGCGCCTCTGTCTCTGGTTACTGTCAGCGTCGCCATCGCCTCCTCCTTCTCGCCTCCGTGTTCTCCCATCTCCTCATCCTCCGCGGCTTGCCTCTGGGGCAGCACCGTTTTGTTTTGTTCCTGCGGCAGGAGGTCGGGGAGGGCACCAGTGGCAGCAGCGTCCAGGCCCCAGGGGCTCAGGCCTGTGCCTCCCTCGGAGGAGCCGGTCCTGGTCCTCGGTAGGCAGGCTGGACGGGAAGCTGCGGGAGGGCAGGCTCACAGCTGTGCAGCCAGGGCCTGGCCAGGCCCCAGGAAATGCCCCGCCGGGAAGGGCCCTGGGGTTGAGAGACTTGAGGGGCTCCCTGGGCACTGGAGGGCTAAGGTTCCTCACCACCAGGTACTCAGGGGGACCCCTCCTCACTTGGCGCTGGGGACCCTCCTTACTGGGCACTGGGGGACCCTCCTCACTGGGCGCTGGGGGACCCTCCTCACTGGGTGCTGGGGACCCTCCTTACTGGGCACTGGGATCCCTTCTTACTGGGCGTTGGGGGCCCTTCCTCACTGGGCATTGAGGGCCCCTCACCACTGGGTCCTGGGGCCCCTCACTGGCCTAACTGTTTCCTTCTCTTGCCCTCAGCCACCCTCAATGCGGCCAGGATACCTGGTGAGTGGAGCTGGCAGCTCTGACAGGAGGGAGAGGGGAGGAGGCCCAAGCGCAGGCAGTATTTATGTGTCCCTCCCCTGGGCACGGGTCAGAAAGGGGCTGGAGTGAAAGGGGGAGAGAGCCCAAGGGGAAGGGAGGCAGGAGGGAGACACCAACGCAGGGAGAAAGGCTTGAGAGGTGCCAGAGCCAGAGGAGAGAGACAGCCAGGAAGGTGAACAGAGTGGAAAGCAGGGTAAGGAAAGGCGGTGGGAGAGACCAGGTGCAGCTGACAGGGAGGGAGTGGGAGGGCCAGGGCCAAGGCCAGGGGAGGACCAGCAGAGAGTGAGGATGGAGGGAGGGAAGGGACTGGGAGGTGGGCGGAGCTTGGGGTGTGGGTTGGGTTGGGGTACAGGTGGAGCTTAGTGTGTGGGTAGAGCTTGGGGTGTGGGTGGAGCTTGCAGTGCGGGTAGAACTTGGGATGTGGGTGGAGCTTGGGGGCATGAATGGAGCTTGGGCTGTGGGCAGAGCTTGGGGTGCAGGCCTAGGGATTGGGATTCCGAGGGTGGGTTGTAGGAAGCTGGAGATAACAAAACTTGACCATCCCCTCTAGTTCCCCCAGCCTGTGGGAAGCCCCAGCAGCTGAACCGGGTTGTGGGCGGCGAGGACAGCACTGACAACGAGTGGCCCTGGGTCGTGAGCATCCAGAAGAATGGGACCCACCACTGCGCCGGCTCCCTGCTCACCAGCCGCTGGGTGATCACTGCTGCCCACTGTTTCAAGGAGTATGTATAGCCAGCCTGGGACACTTGATTCTCCAAGGCCCTAGGCTTTGTGCCTCAGGTCCTGGACTCCCTTCACGGGCTCTGCTTCTGGGCCTCTGTTCAATCTTGGTGCCCCTTGATTCTACCTAGAAGCCTCTCCTGCCTTCAGGCACCTTCACACCCCTGCTGTTCCCCCAGGTACCTCCTCCTAGACCCTCCTGGCTGATCCTCCTCTTGCCTTTCCTTCCAGCAACCTGAACAAGCCATCCCTGTTCTCTGTGCTGCTGGGAGCCTGGCAGCTGGGGAATCCTGGCTCTCGGTCCCAGAAGGTGGGTGTTGCCTGGGTGCAGCCCCACCCTATGTATTCCTGGAAGGAGGGTGCCCGTGCGGACATCGCCCTGGTGCGTCTCGAGCACTCCATACAGTTCTCGGAGCGGGTCCTGCCCATCTGCCTGCCTGATGCCTCTATCCACCTCCCTCCAAATACCCACTGCTGGATCTCAGGCTGGGGGAGCATCCAAGATGGAGGTGCGGCGTCTTTCTCTCCAAGGTGGTTGGGGGTGGATGGGGACAGAGGATGGCAGATACTTAGGGACACAGACACCATGAGCAACAAAAAGTGGAGGCCAGAGGCACAGCATGACACAGATGGAAGAAAAGATGGGTTGCAATCCAGAAGAAACCTCGGTGGGCAATTTCAGGCCATTTCTCTTTTCTTTTCTTTCTCTTTCTTCTTCTTCCTCCTCTTTCTCGTCTTCCTCCTCCTCCTCTTTCTCGTCTTCCTCCTCCTCCCCCTCCTCCCCCTCCTCCTCCTTCTTCCTCTTCCTCTCCCTCTCTGTCTCCTTCTTTTCTTCTTCTTCCTTTTTTTTTTTTTTTTGAGATAGGGTCTTACTCTGTCACCCAGGCTGGAGTGCAGTGGTGTGATCATAACTCACTGCAGCCTTTGCCTCCTAGGCTCAAGTGACCCTCTCACCTCTGTCTCCCAGGTAGCTGAGACTACAGGTGTGCGCCACCACACCTGGCTAATTTTTGTATTTTTTGTAGTGACAGGGTTTTTCCATGTTAGACAGTCTGGTCTTGAACTCTTGGGCTCAAGCAGTCCACCAGCCTCAGTCTCCTGAAGTGCTGGGATTACAGGTGTGAGCCACTGTGACCGCCCTCATTTCTACTTCAAAAGTATCTTTAGCTATGTTTTGAGGCAACAGCCAGACCCGTGAAGCTATTCAATTCATCGATATAGGAATGGCTGAAAGGAGGTGTGTGTGGGACTAAGCTGAATACAGGGTGAATGTAAAAAGAGGTCTGATTCCGGAGTGGGAACAGGCACCCCCTGGTGGCAGCATGCCATAATTGTGGGCAAAATTCTCAGGAGAAAATGCAGCCTCCTTAATTGTAAAATACAATTTTCAAACCACCTCTGGAGGTTTGGAAAACATCATCTTGAAACTCAAACTAGATTACATAAAGCAAGAAGCAGGGAAGCAGCAAGAGAAAGGTAGATGACAGATCGACAGGCAGGTGGATGATAGAGACTGGGCCAAGGAAAAGAAACATACAGGCAGAAATGAGGATACAATGAAGACCTGGAAGAGAGAGTTTGAGAGAGAGAGATAGAGACTAAGTAAGAACAAAGTGTAAGACAGATGAAAATTTAACCAGATTCCAGAATAATTAAGAGAAATGACACTAGCTCAGGTGTATGGGGATCCCACTGACTCTGAGGTTTCAGCCTCCCCATAATCTCTGTAGGGGCTTCTTCAAGAGCTAGAATTGCAGACTTTCAGTCCACAATCTGCAGACCACAGTCTGTAGACCAGCTCCAGGCAAGGTGTGGGGATCCCTCAGGTCCTGGTAATTTTCAGCATTGAGAAGACATTTATTGAACACTTCCTCTATAGCAGTCCCAGTGCTGGATGAAGTAATGCAGTGTCTGAGACAGGAAAGGCTCTAACCATCTGTGGATATCAGAAAATTTATTAAAGAGGCAGGCAGGGTCTTAGGTTTCACATTCATGTTCTGATTCAGCAGGGCCAGAGGTGAAGACCTGGAATTTCGATTTTCTGAAGGCATCTTGGGAGAGCCTGATAGAGCTAATCTGTTAGCCTTTGAGCACCGCTGCTGAGAGGAATGGTGGTCAGGGGGGATAGTCCTTTGAGGAGGCAACGAGGAGGGAAGACCCCCAAGCCTGATTCTGTCCTCCTTCCTCTCAGTGCCCTTGCCCCACCCTCAGACCCTGCAGAAGCTGAAAGTTCCTATCATCGACTCAGAAGTCTGCAGCCGCCTGTACTGGCGGGGAGCAGGACACGAAGCCATCACTGAGGACATGCTGTGTGCTGGCTACTTGGAGGGGGAGCGGGATGCTTGTTTGGTGAGCCTCCCCCCACCAGCCCCCCACCCCTGGCCAGGAGGGCCTCGAGAAGGAGCCAGCATCACCCCTGTCTCCACTGGGCATCACCACCTCTCCCTGGCCTCCTCCCCAGAACTGGCTGTGCCTGACAGCCCCCGGTCCCCATAGAACCAGCCTCAGTCACTCACTTATTTGTTCAGACATTAAACTGGGCAACCAGCTGCACCACCTCGCCCTCCGGGAGCTTGCATTCCCTTCAGGGGGTTTCCCACGCCTCAGTACCCAAAGCCAGCTCTAGCTCTGGGAGTGTCTGGAAGACAGTCAGATAGTGCAGCAGCAGCACCTGGGCCTGGACGTCTTAAGGCCTGGCTGCAGCTCCTACTCTGTCGCCAGGCACTTCTCTTGAGTGGAGGTCAGGTCCTGTCTCCCCCAGGAAGGAGAAATGGGCTCCCGGGGCTCATCTGCTCCCTGACAGGGCACGGGCCCTGGATTCTGCCACTCCCTGTGCCACGGGGGTTCCTAACCTCGCCTCCTCTCTTCAGGGCGACTCCGGGGGCCCCCTCATGTGCCAGGTGGACGGCGCCTGGCTGCTGGCCGGCATCATCAGCTGGGGCGAGGGCTGTGCCGAGCGCAACAGGCCCGGGGTCTACATCAGCCTCTCTGCGCACCGCTCCTGGGTGGAGAAGATTGTACAAGGGGTGCAGCTCCGTGGGCGCGCTCAGGGGAGTGGGGCCCTCGGGGCACCGAGCCCGGGCTCTGGGGCGGCCGCGCGCTCCTAGGGCGCAGCGGGTCGCGGGGCTCGGATCTGAAAGACGGCCAAATCCAGATCTGGATCTGGATCTGCGACGGCCTCGGGCGGATTCCCCCGCTGTAAATAGGTCCAACTACCTCTGGGGGCCCGGTCGGCTGCCGCGGAAAGGATACCCCTCCCCGCCCCGCCCGACGGCCTCAGGTCCCGCCTCCAAGGCCTCAGGCCCCGCCCCCGACTTCCGGTCCCGCCCCGGGCCCCATTGCTTTTGTGTTTATAAAAGTTAATGATTTTTATAGCTATTTGTAACCCTGCCCACATATCTTATTTATTCCAACAATTTCAATAAATTATTTATTCTGCAAGGTCTGTTTTTCCCATGCCTGGGGACACTGGAAAGCAAGGGTCCAGAGGGGGTTAAGGTAGGGGGTTGGATGTTGGCCTGGCCAGAGACTGTGCCATCCTGTCCACCTGGGGCTCACTCTGACCCCTGCTTCCACCTAGGGTTCAGCCTCCTGACCCCTGACCTTTGCAGCCTGGGCCACCCTCCCTTTTATCCCTCTCTCAACCAGGGCAGGGCAGCCGATGGAGAGGGGCCAGAGTCTAGAGGCCTGGGAGACCAAGCTCTGTCACTTCAGGAAGGGGAAGAGAGGGATTGGGAACCCCCAAACTGTGCGTTGGATTCCAAAACAGGCTGGTGAAGAGAAACCCAGCCCCATGGGAGTGGGGTGCTACCTCTCCACCCCCGGCCAAGTCCCCCCTTCTGCTTTCCCCACCACAGGCCTCAGGGGCCTCAGGATGGCAGAGCTGAGGGTGGTGGTGGAGGGAGGCGCCCAGGTGAGCCCCATCAGAGCCCCGTCTCCGTAGGCAGGCTGCTGGGTCCTCATTCCCAGGAGCCGATTCGTCGAGCAACTCACCGCGAAGCTCCAAACTCCCCACTTTGGAAGAAGCAGCGGACAGTGGCAGGGCAGGCCTCTGGCTCTGTGGGCATCAGGAGTTGAGTCACCCCACCTGTCCCCATTGGTCCCAGGCCAAGAGGAGGGGTCTGTCTGGCTTCCTGCCTGCTTAGGGATGCAGATTAATACTCTGTTTCCCCACAGCCACTCATCTGCAACCCGCTCTGGCCTCCTGGACCCAGGGTCCTCATCCCAGCCTGCCTGGGTTCAGGCCTTCCCCAGCATTCCTGTAACAAGTGGGTATGTGGTTAGAGGGCTGTGCTGCTGGCTTTGGTGAGTATGTGATCCTCTAGCAGCCAATACAGAAGAGATTCACCCAAAGCGAAGTCAGGAAAACAACCAGGTCCAATTGTGCTGAAGAATGAGACACTATGACACCGCCATGAAATGTCTCCGTCCAGAAATGATCAAGGACATGGCCAAGTTTGGAGAAGGCAACACAGTTTTAGTTTTTTGTTCTGTTTTGTTTGGAGTCCTTTGTTGGAAGTGCAGTTCTAAAATGTTTGTTCATACTGTCTTGATTGCCTTATTTATTTATTTTTTTCGAGGCAGGGCTTGCTTTGTTGCCCAGGCTGGAGTGCAGTGGTGTTACCCTGGCTTACTGCAGCCTCTACCTCCCAGGCTCAAGTGATCCTCCCACCTCAGCCTCCCAAGTAGCTAGACTGCAGGCGTGAGCCACCATGCCAGGCTAATTTTTAAATTTTTTATAGAGATAGGGTTTCTCCATGTTGCCCAGGCTGGTCTCCAACACCTGGCCTCAAGCAAACCACCCGCCTTGGCCTCCCAAAGTGCTAGGCTTACAGATGTGAGTCACTGGCCCAGCCTGATTACCTTCATATGATTATCAGATCATAGTAAATGCTATGGGGTTGTTTTTATTAAAACAACCAACCAACCAACCAACCAACCAACCAGAACTGCCCTGCTGTTTGTTAGAGTGACCGGCCCAGGGAGTGCTGGGGTGATTCAGGTGTCCCAGGTAGCAGAGCCAACCCCCACGGCCCCTCCCTTTGTGACCTGGTCCCCTCTTGATGTCACCCTATGCTCTGGGTTCCCTTACCTCCTCTGTGGGCTTTAGCCCCTCCCCTTTCCCGTCCTCATTTGCTGGCCTCTCTCCCTCACTCAACTTCTGCCCCTGCTCCTGGACTGCCCCCTTCCTCATTTCTCCACTTCCTTCCCCTGCTCCTGTCCTGGAGTCTCTCCCTTCAGTGTCTCCTTCGACCCCGCCAGCTCTGCCCCCCTTGTCTGTGCCCCCAGACCAGCCCTCTCCTGCCCCTCGTCTTCCTCTTTTTCCTCTCCTCTCCTCTCCCTGCTCCTGTCCTGTTTTTCCTCCTTGTCAGCTCTCGCTCTCTGACCCTCAGTTTCATGGATGCATGTCCCTTTACCCCATCCCTCCACAGGCCCTGGTGCACGTGCATCTACTCTGCATCTACTCCCTCTAATAGGGTCCTGACAGAAGCCCCTGACAGAATGTAGCGCCTAGAGTGGGGGCAGAGAAGCCGCCCCGTAAGCGGCAGGATTCACCAGGGAGGGTGGAGATTTCTCTGAGTTGGGAGGTCGCCTCCAGGCAGCCTTGAGTTTAAGGGAGCCTCTCATGCCTTCCTTAGTGGCTCCATGGGATCCCAGGGCCCTGAGGGACAGGCTGGGGGTGGAGTGGGAAGTCAGCTCTGGCTCTGAAGTGCAACAGGACTTCCAACGATGTCCTCTCCAAACCACGGTGGGGTTCCAGGAGGTGGGTACAGAGTCTCTCCAGCCGCTGTCGGGCTCAGGCAGCACGTGCAGCTCCCTTTCCTTGGGGACCCTTCCCTTGGGGGTCCTGCCAGCTCACAGTGTGTGCACCCTACTCAGAGTCGGGCCAGCCCATGTCCCCAAACTTTGCTGGACATGCTGAGTCTATGGCTCACAAAACAGCCCCCTTCTCCCTGGTTGGAGCCTGGCCCAGGAACAAGTCCCACATGTGAACCATGCTGGGTGGGAGGACCTCGCTACCTCCGCCCCACCAGCATCACCTGTCTCTAGGGGCTGCAGAGACCCGTAGGCCTGGCTGTCTCCTCAAGAGGGAATCCCACACGTTCCAGTTGTACTGGGCCCCCGTGGCCGGCTATACGCCCATCCTAGACTCCTGGGCAGATGTCTCTGGCTCCTTTTTCACCTCTCCGATAGAACAGCCTTTCGCAGAGCTCTCTCTACCTCCCTAAGAGCACCGATGGGGACCATCTGACCTCTGCGACAAATGTCATTACAGCAGGAACTGCCTTAGCTGCAGGCTGTGAAGTCTGGCTACTCCTTCCTCAAATCATGAGCTCTTGAGGGAACTTTCTCCTATGTCTGGGACCTCCTAACTCTTCTCCACTTTGCATCCGAAGCAAGCATTTAAAAGCACATGCTTAAATACATGACTTCCCTCCGTGGCAGGCTCCTTTGGTTGGCTAAGCCAACCCCTATTTCAACTCTTCTGTTTGCTTCTTCCACCTGGAAGAGCTAAATGTTCATTGTCTCCTGCATGGTCACATGTGCCTGTGGGACTAAGTGTTGGCCAATGAGATGGGTGGCTTCTTAGGAAGATTGTTTTTCCCTAATAAAAGGAACATATTCAGCTGGCGTCATCCTTTCTCTCCTTCCTCTTTCTTCTAGTACTGAACGCACATGCAATGCCCAGATTTCAGCAGTCATTTATGACCATAAGGCTACAACCTGACATGCTAATGACAGTGAACCACGATTCAACAGCTATGGGTGTGATGGTGAGGTCAAGATGCTGCCCTAGCTCTACTCAGCCCGCCTCCTTCCAGGCTTCTTGTTTTGTTTGTTTGTACCAGTACCAGCAGGGATGTTGCCCTGATGCAGCTGGACTTCCCCTTGCAGGCCTCTGATTTTTCCAGAAAAGTCTATCAAGGGGTACACACCAGTTAACTGTCTCCTGGTGATGGAAGCAGCTGTTGAGGATTATTCCCTAGACCAATTAATCCATTAGATTGCGACATGGTGATATTCCTGGTCCAGTAGTAGGAATTCCTCCATAAAGAGAAACTTTTCATCATCTATTTATTTTTGTTGCCCCTTTCATTCTATTTTTAAAACTTTTTATGTTTTGGCACCTATTTATCCTCAAAATAATGAACTGTTTCCTTAGCATACTCCAAAAATGATAAAGGAGGTATTTTTTATAATATTATGAACTCACGGTTTTTTTTGAGAAGGAGTTTCGTTCTGCTGCCCAGGCTGGAGTGTAGGCTCACTGCAGCCTCTGTCTCTGGGTTAAAGCGATTCTCCTGCCTCAGCCTCCTGAGTAGCTGGGATCACAGGTGCCAACACCACGCCCAGCTAATCTCTGTATTTTTAGTAGAGATGGGGTTTCACCATGTTGGCCAGGCTGGTCTCGAACTCCTGACCTCAGGTGATCTGCCCACATCGGCCTCCCACAGTGCTGGGATTGCAGGACTGAGCCACCACGCCCGGCCCAGATGTTTTCTTATTTGTAGGAAAAGGCAAGGAGTAG